CAGGAAAACAGTGTTAAAATGGCACTGTGGATAAAAAAAATGCTGAGATGTTGCAGTGATTTCAAACTAAGCATTATAAACCCTATATTTGAGACGCATACATTTTACAGTAATAAGTGCATGGTTAAGGCCCTAGAAAGTCCTTAGCTCTGCCTTGTAGTAATAGGGTGTGGTAACCATGTTCTTATGGCCAAAGCATAAGTGGTTGTGGTCCTATATTAGAGAAAAATGAGTTTTAAGACCCCATTAGATTTTTTTCCTCTTGGCATCATTACAGGGTGGAATGAGAGTGGCTGCAGAATACTTGGTGTACATCGAACACAGAAAACATGCAAGGCCCTGAATGTAACCCTGATGAAACAAATGCCTGTGTGTTTTCCTTAAGAAATGTACTGTCTCTCTTTTCCTTTTCTCCGCCAGTACTGTGAGGAGTCTCCCATGAAGTACCTGGTAACAGTATGCCAGCTAGTTAAACATGGTTTTCAGTTCTTTGCATCATCTGTTGGAAGCAAGTGGTGACTTTCCAGCTGCTGTTTCACAGCGGCAGGGTAGCGGTACCAGTGCTTTGTGAAGCACCTCCATCAAGGGGAGTCAATTCCTGAGTCCCCATATCTGTGTTTAAAAGGCTCTTTTTGCACATTTGTCTCAGGTCTTGATGTATAGTGGAGCCAAGATGGAAGTGCCAGTGGAAACTTTTTTCATGCACTGACATCCAAATTAATAGGCAGACACAGAATATTTAAGGAAGTGGTTCTCAACCTTTTTTGATTTGAGGCACCCCTGGATAGATTTGAGGCACCCCATGGAAAATGCCAACTCTAAATTTTCTCTTTCTTTTTACTACAGCTGAATAATAGAGCAGTTTATCTGTTGCAAAGAATTCAAAAGCCATAACTATGGATTCCTATTTGAAATCTCTGAGTTTATTTATGAATCATGTTAATAAACCTAACAGTGCCAACATTGTGGAGCACCCTGAAGCACCCTTGAAAAGATGTCAAGGCACCCCAGGGTGCCATGGCACTCTGGTTGAGAATCACTCGCTTAAGGAATAGTGAGAATTGGGCCAAATTACTGGTACCCATACCCAGTCTCCCTCATGCTACTGAATCATTACAGTCCTATGCTGAGGATAGGCGGTGGTATGTTGAATTACATCCAGCTTCACAGTGCCTCTACTCAAGAGTTCCTTGAAGTGATCCTGTCTGTGATCAATGTACTTGTTCCAGTTTGCTACAACAGTAATTTAGCTTAAATACAACCTTGTTTCTTCAGTTATATTCCACAGGCTAGATGTTGACTTTAACTATATGGAAAGCTTGAAGGATTGGAAAGGATCTCCTGGGACAAAGGAAAGATTAGTGCAAATGCTCAATTTCTTTATAGATCCAGTGTCAGTTTTGTTAACTAATTATTGGATTTACTTGTAAACCCTCAGAAAAATTCACTCTCTATTTGGAGTGGGTGTTGGAAGTTTGGGAAGAAAAGGCTGTAATTTTTTCATCTGAATAGAGGCAGAATTTCATCTTAAGTGCAAAAGTAGTAGTAGTAGTCCCATCCACAAGGTGCACTCCACTTCTGGCATCTGACATTCAGTAATCACCCCCGGAAAAGTATTAGTGCACTGTGGGCCAGTCTGATCCCCAAGTCAAGATCTCTCCTTTTGAGCTTGTGTGACAAGTCAAGCACCTCCCCTGATCAGTACTGCAATCCTGTCTCTGAGCCATGCAGGGAAATAGTTATGAGAGTCCCCCATCCAAAGCTGAGTTGGGAGATTCTGTTTCCAAGCAAATGGATTGGTAATTCTTTTGTCCATGGCCAGTAGCTACTTTAAGAAACCAGTACATCTTGCTCGTCTTTGCAGGATAAGTGGGGAAACAGGGATTCTTTCTCCCCCCCTGCTTGCTTCATGCTGAGAGAAGAGGAGCTGCATGTGAACAATGCAGGAAGAGACTGGAACAAATCTTTGCCACACTTCACTGATCCTAGGAAATGTTGCTTCTGCCTGACTGGAGGCTTTTGAAGGACTTGTGTTGCATATTCTTGACCCTCACTGTAGTCAGGGTAGAGGCCTGCAATTGCTTTCAGGTGAGGGAACCACCTCCTAGTTCAAGAAACTAATGGCCATCGTATGAAAGAATGGGGACAATGCTTATTTTGAAGGGAAAGCTCACAGCTCTGCTTTTGCTGGTGGTGTAATAACTGATATGTTCCTCACAGCCCATGGTCTTTTCCCAGAAGCAATGTTTCTGATATTTGAACAAAACTTTTATTTGAGAAGCTGCTTGTCTAATACGAATCTCGTGTATATTTATATAAATATAAAATACTTATATTTTATTGCAAAGATCTAGGTGAAGTATGGGGGAAGCAGAAAAATAAACGGGCAAGGGAAGAATCCAAAGAAATGGGGTGGGGAAAGGAGAAGAGAGCAGGGAAGAGGAAGAGAAAGTGCCAGGATGGTTTCCTCCAGGATGGTTTCCTCCTCTTTGGTTTCCTCCAGGATGGCCAGTCTGCTTTTCCATCTAAAATCATAGGCCACCCACCCACAAGCATTGCTCTAGAGCCAAGTGTTCTGTAAGTTCCCAAGATAGTGGGAAGGATGGATGATCTCCCGACCCGTACTTCACTGGCAACAGGGTTATTCCTTCAAACCTTAACTGCAAATCAGAGATGGAAGTTAACGTTAAGCCCCCATTTGTGTTCCGACTGTCCTTATGATGTGGGGCTACGTGAAACATTCAGTGCACAAGAGCAGGTTTTAATGAAACCTGCTTATTGGCATGAGGAGAAACAAAGTGGCACCGGTTCACTGGAAAAATCTCTTGGACCACACTGTTCACACGGGTTGCAATGAAATAGCCATTTGGGGTACAGACAGCACGGACCCAGGCTGCTTTCACTGGGGTCAGGAGCGTGGAAAGGAGGGAGTTTCCTTGAAGACTCATTAAAATACATTTCCATGATGGAAAATTTTTTTTCCATTTGCCTGGCTTTGGGGAACATGCAGTGCAGAAACTGAACTCCATTTTCATTTTTGCTTTGCAGTCCACCTTTGCAGTGAAATGATAAGAACTGGGGACTTTTGTGGGGCTGCATGACTCTCATGGACTAGTTCCTTCAGTCTTAAAGCATTCAGATTACAAAGTCATTGGTAACAGTGCCTTTTAAGGGCGGGTGTGACATCAGCAGGAGTTTCCAGCCTCTGCACATGTACTGCCCAGGAGGTTTTCGTTCTCCTTTTGGTTACAAAGGAGACTCTTAGTGGCAAAGCGCAGAGAACATCATGCAACTCATGATGCGATGTCTCACTGACATTTACAGCTACGCCTACTCTTCCCCTGTTGTAGTAAAAGAAAAAATCCCAAGTCCAGTGGGTGTTGGTCAGAGGCCTGCATCCCAGAATTTCAGATGCAGCTGCTGGAAGTCTGTTGCACAATGTTAGGAGCTGAACTGAAAGGATGTACACACAGCTAGTTTTGTGATAGAGGAAGAACACACGTGTTCATATATACATATACACATGGAGGAGCAAGATGCAAAACTTCAAGTGGACTATACTATTCAGGGAAGCCCAACTGGTTGTGGGAAGAGAAGACTTGGCCCTATCACTAGTGAGGAGGGAGTGAAGGGATCATAGAAGAGCTCCCCAGGTGAAAGGGTAGCATAATCTTGGCATTCCTACACCAGTATTTTCCTGTGTATTTTCCACTAGTTTGCTAGTATCTGGGACTTCTGTATCAGCAGTGGATTGGGTGCACATTTTGAGTTGGAATCAGATCTTGTGTGTTTACTTTGTTTTGGCCCCTGACTGTTCATCTCCACTAATGGCAGCAGGCACCTGGGCAGGCTAAGTGTTGGTCCTTCTCCAGGATGTTCTGCTGGAGGATCACAAAGCAATTCCCAGTTCTTGGAACTGAGACACCCTTTAAGCCAGGGGTGGGCAAAAAGCGACCTGCGGGTCAGATGTGGCCCACCAGGCCATTCTATCTGGCCTGTGGGGCCCCTAAAAAATTTAGAAAATTAATATTTATCTGCCCCTGGCTGCCTGTCATGCGGCCCTTGCTACCTTGCCAAAACTCAGTAAGCGGCCCTCCACCCAAAATAATTGCCCGCCTCTGATTTAAGAGCATGCAAGTATGATTATTCTCATTTTTCAGAAGAGGGAACAAGGACAGGCATTGGTTCAAGCTACCTGGAAACTCAAGACAGAGGCACGCATGGAACTGCCCAACCTTGATTTAACCACAAAGCCATTCCTTTTGTGACATGTCACCACTCAGGCACCTGCTTTCTGCCCCTTACTGTGTGAGCTGAGGAACAGTAGAGGAGGGGGAGTAGAGGAGCTGTGGTAACACTGCATGTGTTCAAGCCTAGGAATATAGTGCAGAGGGGGATATTACAGAGCAGGGGAACCCCTTCAGGCCAGGTCTGAGTTATTTTCTTTTCTTTCTTCTCAAATGCTTGTTATCACAGGAATGTTATGACACTGGCTTGTTACCAGCTGGTTCCTTGGGAACTCTGGTTTGAGTAAAGTCCCTTATCATGACATCCAGGCTGCAGAGAGAGATTTCCTGGGAGGATTTTTTCATGAGCTCTAGGCTGGGTCACTTAAATTGTCCTCAGAGGCCTTCTCAGAAATGTTTGGCTGTGTGGCTGGGTTTATTATTGTAGGGTTTTTTAGGGGATGTCATTGGAGAGTTTTTTCACCTTACAAAAAGGTGCCTGTAGTACCTACATGCAACAGAAGAAAAATGTAGGAAAAAATGGCCATTATATATCAGCTAGATCCACAAATGGGACCAGAGCAGCACAAAAACACAGTGGCAGGATTAGGTCTCTTCTACAAGTTTTTAGTAGCCACTGGACTGCACTGGAGAAGGCTGAGATGCTCTGTGGGGAGCAGACAGAGTTGTAATGGAGGAGTGGTGGAGTTCTAGGTGGAAGAATGGGTTTACCAAGGTCCGACTGTCTCATAGTTGCTGTTTGCCTTTTCTCAGGCTTTGCTCACAAGACACAGGTGGCCATCGCCAAAATGGGAGAAGAAGTAACCTTACCCTGCTGCTATGAAACACGCAGCGAAGACATCCCAAGTAACTACCGTGTCTACTGGCAAAAGAATGTCACAGAAGTAGTGATCGCTTATTCGTTTGGGAATTGGCTCCCGAATCCCATTAACCGTTCCAGCCTGAACCAAAGAACCTTTGCTCTGTCAATCACCCAAGTGGAAATTTCAGATGCAGGAAGCTATACATGCATAGTTCAACGTGTGGGATCTGTCAAGCTCTGCGACCAGACTGTGATTCTTTCAGTTATAGGTAAGTAGTGTGTCCCAAGTCACTTAGAGCTTTTAATTAATATGCCAAGGCTTAAGGTTCAAGGTACACAGCTAGGAGCATCACTGAGGTTGAGACCCTTTCAAGGGTGCTGTGGGGTGCCACACAATGTTAGCACTGTTAAGTGTGCAGACATGATTCACAAGATAAACCCAGAGATTTCAAATAGGAATCTTTAGTGTTAAAAGCATTCTGACCTGTTGTAATCCTTTTGAGTTCTTTGCAACGGGAGAATTTCTGTTATTTTTCTGCACTCAAAAGAGTGAAAACTAACAGCTGGCACTTTCTGAGGGGCCTTGAGTCTTTTGGATGCCTCGAATCTATCAAGGAGGGGACCTTGAATCTAAAAAAAAAAATGTTGAGAAGCACTGGATTAGCATGGTTGGTCAGGCCCAGTTGACCTCCAGAAACCTTGGCATGGTGGGGCTTATTATTAGAAGGCTAAGGTGAGAGTTAGAGTCAATCCTACTTCCGTCTGCCCTCCCCATCCGTTACTCCTGCCCTCCTTGTTTTTTCATGCTCATCTCTGGCACTAAGAGAGGGTCTCTCCTCCCTCATGCCCGCATTCCCCGCTGCTCTAATCATCTCTTCAGGGAGATGTATATTCTAGGATCCAGTCCAGTGAGTTGAATCATTTGTCTGCACTCCTAGATAACTAGGCTTCTGCCTTTTTCCCAGGGGAAGCAGAGGGCAGGATCCAGAAGCATAGGGAAGTGGGGTAAGTCATTTATGATAGAGAAAGTCTTCTCTGCTGGGGAAGAAAGATGAGGTTGGGACCACCCCTCTGCTGCTTTTCTTGTTGAACCACAAACTCCCCAGAGATTCTCGCAGCCTTCTAGGAGACTGGTCAGGACTCAAGGTCTGAGACATCAGACTGTCTTGAGGTTAATCAGCTACAGAGAACCAGTTCATGACACTAAGAAACACCATAGGTCCCTTTGCTCAAAACGAATCTGAATCTTGAAGGTTAGAAAAAGTTCCAGTCATATAATTTTCCATTAATACAGCTGTCTGTGTGATGGTTTGTTTTCAGCCAAGAGCAGCAACACTGGTCTTTTTGTGATCTGTCTGGGAGCAGAATGTCTCTGAGCTCTTCCAGGAAAGCCTTCTGTAGGCCATGGAATAAGCACTGGAAATGCTCACAAGTACCTTCATCCAGTTTCCCAGTCTTGTGAGGTTTTAGCATCGTTAGTCCCAGTCCTCCGTTGGCCTGTTAGTGCTTGTAGGCATGCGGAATCAGGATTCAGACAATCCCTGGTGTTCATGAATCCCTACAAGGAATCTCCCCTTTCCCCATCAGTGAGATCTGAGGTGACCAGAGAACATACTCTATTAAATAGAGCTGTATTCCCAAAACATTCCCTTTCTTTTTTTTTTTTCTTCTTTTTTTTTCACACACAGCTTTGGAGAGCAATATTCTCTATAGAGCTGATTTGTCATCCCTTTGGGAATGAGATACAGTTGGTCATGCAGGGGGGAAACAAACACTGTAGTCTCCTTCTTTTCTATCATCTCCTTGTTCTAATGGGGCCAGGAGAATAGGTAGGAGAGATAGCAACATCCTGAAGGACAGAGCGGGGGGTCTACTGCTGAGTGGATTGAGAGTGGGACAGAGACTTTCAGTCCAAGGCCACAGGTCTAAGGTGGCTGGAAGTTGCTACCAGATGATGACAGTTCACTGACCCTGTGTTAAGTGAGCCAGGACTTTTAGTCCAACTTCTGGTTTCAACATGATTCACCAAAACCACCACAGTTGATTGAATACAAGATTAAGTCCTGGGAGATGTAGGATTTCCTTTTACTTCTACCCTTGTCCTATTATGCAACCCTTATTTCATCCTTTCATGCCACCCTTTCATCCCAACCTTTGTCTGTCTCCTCTGCTTAGATTCTAGTCTTTGGGGGCAGGAACTGTCTGCTGCTCTGCATTCGTACAGTGCCTGGCATAACGGAGCCCTCATCTCAGTCGGGGCCTATAAGTAGGGATGACAGTTTCACTGGTTCCTTGCTGATGATCACAGCGGCGAAGCCAGTCTATGGAAAACACTAGAGTCTAACAGCTTGCCTCTGTCCACTAGAGATGGAACTGCCTGTGTAGGACTGAGACA